TATATGCGGTCTGAGAACCCTCCTTATGAATATTTAATTCTCTCTTAATTAATCGCGGTCGTTCTCTAATTGCATCCTCGTTAAAAGGACAAGCCATGTTTGCGTTTAACTACTAATGTGTCTAACAGACCTAGTGATATATTTATATTTTATTTTATATAACAGAACTCTCCTGATTAAATCAGGAAACAAAACAACGTGATTAGGTTTAAGGATGGTGGAGATCGACAGACCAGGCTAGCTTTGGGGAGAAGAAAGTTACTATGGAAACAGAAACAGGTTGATTAAACGCTCCCTGAATTTGGGTTTAGAAAAAAATTGTGCTTTCAGTAAACCTACTTTGTGAAACGGGCCTCTGTATGTAATCATTTTTTACCAAATTATTTGGTGATTATTGAATTATTCAATAAAAATGATTATTGTTTCAGATCTACTTATAGGCAATACTGAAAATCAGCCTTGAAATTCTGATTCTTCATTTCTACTTTTATTGATATCTTTAAAATCGAGCCACCATTGTGCAGAAAGCTGCTCTGAGGATTAGAATCTATGGGTTTTTCTGATCAAGCCATTCCAGTTAAAGTAGATTGTTTATTAATCCTGCAACTTGGGTGAAGCAAATACAGTAAATTTTACTTCTAATCTAAAACAAATAAGCTTTTACCACTGTACAGGAGGACAAATGAATTCAAACGGAAAAGGAGGTGCTGGGTAATCAACCTAACCTAATGAGGGACAAAGAGGAAACAAAAGTCTGCAGAGGAAGAGGAAATGTCTGAAGCAGCAGCTGAGTATGTCAATGCATCTATGCTGGTGCCATTAACAGGAATAATAAAGGATAAAAACAACCCTTAGCCAGCAGGACACAGTGACATGTGAGTCAAATGGTCAGCAGTAGAAATTATTCTTATGAGCCAAGAAAAACAAAAAACAAGTTTGATCTTTAGGACGGGGGTTTCACTGGCTTAGAACCAAGTGTCCTGGATGGATTAGAGGTTTCCCTACCTCCGCACACCTGACTTTAATAAGGAGTGGTTCATTAGAGACACGTCTAAAACATGCAGGACAATGTCCTAAAGACCACTGTTTTAGGGCACTTTGTAACATGAACCAACTTTATCAGTTTAATCGATTATTTCAATAATTTTCAACTACTTGAGGAAGCAAAATAACTAAAACAGACTCCGTACCAAAGCTTTGTTATTTTAAATTATAGATATACAAGGGGGCTTTGTTTACTAACAAAAATCAGGAAAGCCGGGCAAACGTTGTACGATTTTTTTTGCCCTCTTCGGTACGATTCTCCAGTCGTGCGAGAATTTTTTCTATCGGGCCGAGTTTCATCCTCATCATACATTGTGTGTCGTGTAGTACACAGGGGGTAATGGGGGGCAATTAGTCTCTCACGACCACCTCCCGATCAGGAATTGTAAGGTCGGGAGAAAATCAAAGATGTTGGAAATTCAGTCGGCTGTCGTGAGGTTTTCGTGGATAAATCCTGCTGTTGAAGCTGAGCTACGAGCCGATTTACCAGAACCTCGAGCGTTTCGCATGTGCAAACAAGGGAATTCTTCTTCGTCCGACCACTCCCATCTCTTGGCGCCGAGTCTGACGTGTGGTTTTAGGACGTACATTGTAAGCAGTAGGGGTGTAAATAAAGTCCATCATGGCAATTCGATTCAGTATCGATTTCCTGACCCAAACGATTTGATTATTTTCGATACTCAAGAATACATCGACTTCGTTTTCCTCCGCCACATCTGTCTTGTCCACCTCTTCTTTCACCTCAGCTATCTCCGCCATGTCTGTCTTGCCTACTGTTTACGCGACTGTGTGTGTCCATGCGGAAAGAGGGTAGTGGCTAGGGTTGTCAAAAGTATCGATACTCAAAAAAGTATCAATACTGAAACGTATCCGGATACAATACTCATTTTCAAAAGTATCGATACAGTGCTACCACCAGTGGCACCTAAGCAGTCAATCATCTAAAGTGCAGAATAGTGGAAAATGCACTTTCTTAACACTGTGTGATTGAATAATTCTGCGCACTTTTCACTTTCAGACTTTTTTGTAAGAGGTGCAG